CTTCAACATCCCATCAAAAATACTTGAATGTTAGTCCTAAGTTTTATAAATTAAATGTTTTTTTTTAAATATTATTTGCAAGGCTGCATGAACATTGCACCTATCGTTTTCGTATATTTCCTTTCCGTCATTCATAAGTAAAATGTTTACTGTGACTTCTATATAATGCTTATACAATAATGCAATCATATTATCAATCTAAAAATATTAATCATGGAACAAAAAAGATGAAATTATATATTAAATGACTGAAGCAATTTAAAATTCTAAAGGATATTGTTACAATATTGCCGAAAACTGAGACTACTATAACTGTTATAGTAGTCTCAGCCTAAAACGATACGAAATTGATAAGCAAGTATGACAAACCAGTTAAAAAAATTTTATTTGGGATTATTCATGGTTGACTAGTTCTATATTAACCAGTTGTACGTGTCCTAATTATTAAGAAAAGGGACAGAAAAGTATTAAACAGAAACAGCCGTTTTTTAAAACCATATTTTCAAATTCACTAGTACTGCATGATTTAAACAGCTTAAAAGTGTTTCATTTATTTTATCTTTGTACGTATACGAAAATTTGATAGCAAGTTAAAATTCAATGTTCATGACTAACGAGTATTAGATTTTTTGTGAAATTGATCGATGCGCGACTTTTAACAAATACCGAAAAAAAGAATATGGCGTAAACGTCAATTAATGGAAAAGCAACCCAACGAGAAAAATAAAATTTAAGAGGCAGCTATAAATAGTTTTGAGTTGGAGAAATCATTCATATACCATATGATTCTATTTAGATTTGTGCGTTTTTCGATTTACGAATATGTCAATTAGAAAAAATTAAGTAATTGTACCTAGGTGCATTTAATAAAGCACCTTTTGAACTTATTATTATCATTTTTTTTTAATTGTAATTTTATGTTTATGTATATTTAATGTTACCCGATATGGAGTTCTTTTTAAAGATGAAATTCACTTGAATGGGTATTTCTAGTGTATACAATGTATACATGTATCACACGTACTATCTACATGTACAATATACGGAAATGACACGGCCGTGTATTGTATTTAGTTACTGAAGGAAGATTTATGTCAAATGCATATCCCCGGGCGAAGAATTTACTGGTTTGTCAGAACGGTTAAGTGTAATTTGTACCAACTACCATCATATTGAAAAGGTTTGAATCCCGCCCATCTCTTCTTTTCTTATAATATGAATTGCGCCAATAAATGGAACTTAATTGTGCCATATTTAATTCTAAATGATTAATCTATTTACACGTAACATTAGAATACCCAATTTAAAGGATGTTTGATTTTTTTTAAAAAGATGTGGTCTGATAGAGAGCCCGAAACCTGTCGTGGTTGTGAAGATTATAAATTCCGCCAGGCTTTTATAGAAAAAGGAGAAATTAGATGGAAACATAATGCGCGCTGTTAAATCATACTTTGCAAGGCTGTTTACAGATGACTCGTGCACAGTCATTTTAAATTATGAATAAGATCACATACATGCATCAGAGACATATAATACTAGCCCGTAAATACATGTAGGAGGAGGGAATCCATCAAAACGATGTGCAGAAATACCGCAAAGGACTTCTTAGTGCACTCAGACCAACGTGTATGGACTAAGGACACTAAAACGGTGTTTTAAGATCACAAAGAATATGGATATAAAGTTTTGTGTCAATAGATTTTATTATTTTGAAGTTAAATGACTTTGTAATCAGCACGTGCCACTGGTACAAATCAGGCCAGGATAGTTAAAGAAAAGTTTTTAAAAAATTTAAAACTTTTAACCACAGAGTGAAACTAATGTTAGCTGTCAGATAAACTAAGTCCATTTATAAATAAAATACGATTTATTCTACACAATTTACTTCTGGATACTATCTTGTGATCATACACAAGCTTTTATCCAAGTTTGGTAGAAATTTGGGATATTTTAAGAAAGTTATGTAAATTTCAAAAACTTTAACCACAGAATGAATGCAATGTTAACTGAGAGAAAAGCTAGGTCCATTATACATGTAAGTAAAACACAGATAATCAGGATTTTTTTCTTCCAAAATTTACTTCTGGATACTATCTTATGATCATAAACATTCTTCTGTTGGTAGAAATCATGGATAGTTTAAGAAAGTAATTAAAATTTCAAAAACTTTAACCACAGAATGAATATGTGTGGATTTTGCTAGCCGACGCCGATCGCTATGTTCCGCTTTTGCGACAAAAGTCGCAGACTCGACAAAAATGTAATAAACTGTTATACTTTGAACATGTGTATCTAATGTGCTGGTAAACAAGTTTATACATTCTAAAATATTTTTTAAATAAAGAAATACTAGAGAACTATAAAAAAAAGTGAAGTTTACAAACAAGCGAGAGAAAAAAAAAAAAAAAAAAAATAGTAGAACATACATTATTACATTGAACTAAAAAAAAATATAACAGACAGAAAAACAAAAGAAATACGACAGTAACAAACAGACGAAAAAAATCAGAGAAAATTGAAATATCATAAACATGTTAAATACAAGCGGATTCAAAACGGGTCAAGGTTGAACGAACATGAATTTCTATCGATTACACAGGTGACAATCAACGGAGGGTGGTGGCGCGTGTCGATAAAACATAAAATTACTTTTTTAATTACTATAGATATGATTATAAAATTTGAAACTATGTACTTTTAGAAAGTCTCCTTCTATATGCCCTATTTTTTTTGTCAATTCTATCATTCCATCAGGTCCTTAGTGCAATATTTTGTTCTTATTGCACTAAGGAGGCCCTTTGCGGTATTTCTACTTGTCCGTATAAATACCGCAAAGGACCTCCTCAGTGCACTAAGAACAACAATTTGCAAATAAGTCTATAACATTTGCGCAATTAAATGCTTGTTTTATTGGCGAGAATGAATGCTGCATTTTTTTATATAAAGTGATGCAAAAAAAAAAAGAATTGGCGTAATTAAGTTGCAGCGGAAATTAATTCTTTTTCAGCGAAATTGGATATCGGCCTTCAAAACACCGTGTGTACACTAACAAATCAGTATTCATCTTTTACGCTGTCTAGCCTGAGAATAAAAGTTTTGGCAATTTGTGTAGGATTTTAATTTTAGAATGTAATGAACAAGTAAGAAGATCGTTAAAAGCCTTGAGCGAATCGGAAAATGAGCTATGCACGATTAAAGGAAATAGTTTGGTGCGTCGATATGAAATTTCATAGAGGCATGTGATATTTGTAAAATTTTAAGTCTTTCAATAACAACCATTTGTAGAACTGATTATTTCGATCCTTCAAATATGCGTAAAAAAAGTCATATTATTTAGTCTCTTTCATATATACAATTGCAGTATGTTTATAAATACTGTAGATTTGTATTTGATCATCGATTGCATGCATAACGTCCAGTGACAAATATTTCATGTATTCGCACAAAGAACAAATCAACAACTTTTAGAATACAATTGATTGGTTATTTAAGGTAAATGATTTGCGTTAAAATTGGTGAAACTTGGCCAGAAGCTTACTTCTAGAACAAAGAAATATAAAAAACGGTAGATTTTTTTTTTTTTAATTCTGTATTTTACGCATACATGGACTTAAGCACTTTTTACAGTCAAAATAACAATTTTAACACCGACAGCAGGAATCACAAGCGACGCTGGTACCATAGAAGTCTTCAACGAATTTATATATATCCCTGGCAATTTTCGGTTTATATCAGACTCTGACATTGAGGGGAACAAATACCATGGATGTCTCGTCTTTTTTTTAAATACATTTAGATATAAAACGTGTATCTCATATAAAGCCTCATTTATAGAACATTATATATATAATTTACTGTTTCGAGGAAATATTTGGTGGAGGAGAGAGAGAGAAAGAGAGAGACTTATTTCGCGGTATTTGGTCTCATGTTACAGTGTTTTCATGTCAAAATGTGATGGAAGGAAATATTTCCGCCTTCGTTTTATATAGCAGGGTATTCCATAATGATTTAAGTTGCAGATTTTTTTTTCTATCGGTAAGAAATGGTATACAGTTTGAAATCTACATTAAGTTATAGTACATTTAAAGTAAGTTTATTGCATTGCTAAACGTATGAAACAATTAGTATGCAACAAAATATATAATAAAATATATATATAATTAACAAGTGAAATGTTTCCAATCCAATCTTTCAAATCTAATATAGTCCAAAGGATATAAATAAAAGGTGTTCTTACGGCTGGCGGTAAAAAAAACTTGCCAAAGTGGGGGCATCCGTTTGGTTGTTTGGTATATATATACAGTACGCAACCAACTTTCAATAAATCCAAACTAATAAATGTTTTTTTTTTTAATCCCGCATCTTTTTTATATTAAATTATTTTAACTCAAAATAATAGTTGAAATATCTTTCTGAAATGAAAACCTAACATATATCAGACGCTTAACAAAACGATATACCATACGACAGATGAAACGCTTAACGATATCATATACCATACGATAAACGAAACGCTAAACGCTAAACCATACCATGTATCATACGACAAATAAAACGCTTAACGATACCATAAACCATACGATATACAAAACCCTAAACGATGACATTTACCATACGATGAACGAACGATGAACGAACGCTGAACGAACGTTGTACGGACGCTATACGAATGATGTACGAACGTTGACCGAACTCTATACGAACGATTCCCGAACGTTGTACGTACGATTCCCGAATGAAAAAAGTGTTAACTTTTACGTTACAGGGACTGTAACATGATTTACATTAGATTTTGAATTAAGGCAACAGTAGTTTTCCGATTAATAAGTCCTGTAGATCGATTCCGATGAGTTTTATAAGATCGTTTTTTGTGCCTTTTTGTGAGTTGTTTTCCGCTTTGTTACAGTCGGTTAAACTATTTTAAATAATTGTTTAAAATTTGTTATTTTGTTGTGCTGTTACAACGAGTTAACAAGTCTAAGTTTATATTGTGGTTTCAGAGCCTTTATTGTGCAATTCTAAAAGGAGATGTCTCAGAAGTTCAAACGTTAGTAGAATGAGGCGCCTCCGTAAACATAACGTCATATCCTGACGTAAGTTAATACTACTTCGAATTTTATAAAAATGTCAAGCACTATAAACAATGTTTCCCCGTTTCACACAGCAAGTTCTTTTCAAATTTAGTTCTTTGCATGCATTAGATAACTGCATGCTTTTTATACAATTATACAATTATGGTTGTCAACATTTCAAGTCAGCATAAAAGGTTGATCTTGGTCATTTGTAAACAATAAAACATCTACAATATCACTACATAGAGAGCTTTTTGTTGATGCACAGTTTTCATGCTCCTCAGTTTGAGGCGCATTAGGAATATTAACAAATTTGGTCTAACGTAACGACATACGGAATAAAACTCCTATTAGTATAAGAGAACCAAATGACGACAAAAATAAATCGGAGAAACACAGACAGCATCATGATATAAATATCAAAAACAAGGTTCTTAAAATACTATAAAGAAGAAAAAACATAAGCAGTACGAACAAACAAAAACTGAGGGTGCGGTCAGGTGTTCTAGACAAGTGTATTATAAACTTTCTAATGTAATCAATAAATTTTAAATGTATGTTTCTAATGATCATAACAGATGATGTTTTGTTTACTTCTATGTGATATTGTTGTTTACTTGTTATGCATGTTTCTTATCTAAATAAAACCCACACACATTGTCGATCCTAGAATTTTTTGTTGTTGAAAGTCGCTCCCCTGGGCATAGTGATACATTAACAAAACGTAAATGAAAAAAAAGATTAAAGACTAAATAATAATGAATATCAAAAAGAAGACATCTTAAAATTAGGAACTGACAAAACACTTAAAATGTAATAAAACATACATGCACGCAATTTGTATGTCTATTGTTTCTTCTTCGTTTTATTGTAAAACACAAAGATACAAACTATATTTCATAGTACAGACGAATATCGATTATATTTTAAATGAAAAAATGATAGCAGTTTCGCGTGGTTTTTGTAATGTGATTTTAGGCGATTATACCTCCTACTCCTTTGCTGTGTCAATAAACAAACAATTAAGACACGCAAAATGTTAACAATTCACAACTTACATCACGATATGTTATTATTATATGCAAATCTAAAGGCTATTTCTTTCATTACCGGGCTCCTTCAAGCAGCTCTAATTGCAGATCGCGTCTTGTTTTATAAAATCAAAATTATCAACTTTTCATAACAGCTTATATTACAATGTACATGTAGCAGAATGCAATACAAATGCTTTCGTTTTGCTGCAAAGAACATGACAGACATTATATACCTGTGTGTGACCAGCTTTTTTTCTATTTAGAATTGGAGTCCACTGCATCATGCAGCATTATTGAATCGTCCAGACGTTATACAATTACTTATAAAAGAAAATGCAGATGTGAACCTTGTTGATACAAATGTAGGTAAAATTTGTAATATTTTGTAATTAATTGGATTGCACTTCATTGCATATTCACAGTATGATATTTTAGCAATGTAAATAGCTATACTCTTTTTTCTTTCACAGATTTGCACTGTGATATTGTAGAATGGTATACACAAGAGACGTCTAACAAATGGCTATTGTTATATTATAGTTCGTTTCTGTGTGTGTTACATTTTAGGGTTGTGTTTCTGTTGTGTCGTAGTTCTCCTCTTATATTTGATGTGTTTCCCTCAGTTTTAGTTTGTAACCCGAATTTGTTTTTTTTATCAATCGATTTATGAATTTCGAACAGCGGTATACTACTGTTGCCTTTACTATTCAATTTCTTAGATTAATATCCAGAGCTTTATTAAATGTTTTGATTGAGTATAAACTTAGGATGCAAATTTTAAGCAAAATGGACCTTATACTTTTGGAATTGGGTTATCAAAATTTACATGGTCTATTGATGGTCTGAAATCAACAAAAAATCATGAATTCAATTCAATTGGCAAATCTGTGTGCTGAAAAAAAGTAAAATCACAAAAATACTGAACTCCGAGGAGAATTTAAAACGGAAAGTCCCTACTCAAATGGCAAAATCAAATGATAAAACACATCAAACGAATGGACAACAACTGTCATATTTCTGACTTGGCACAGGCATTTTTAAATGTAGAAAATGTTGGATTGCACCTGGTTTTATAGCGCTAAACCTCTGAAAATTATCATGATAATTTCAAATATTCTGTTTATTTAAGTGTTTTGATGAGTCTTTCGTAGACGATAAATTAATTCTATATATGTATTTTTCCCATCAGACAAAATGTTACAAAATATTACTGTAAAATAAGCCTGTTGCGAATAGTACGCAATTATAGAGACATTAAACTTTTATTTGACGTTGTTTATGTAAAATTACATTATCATTTTAATTATAGTAAATGAATCATGCTAGAATATTCTAGATGGATAGTGAAAGTAATTGTGTATATTTATGTTTTAGAAAGTGCTAGCAAATTCCGGAATTTACGCTGTTACAAAAAAATGGATTATTTATCATTTCTCTAGTTAATTATAGATGGTTCTAGATTTAGAATGTTTTTATAATTTTGGTTTATAAGCTAAGGGTTTTTAGGAATAAAGATCATTGTAAAAATAGTAGAAACAGAAGTATAGAAGTATTATCAGTTGAACTAGAAAGAAAAAGAAGGATTATTTAGCAGTTTATTCCAATGTGGTATTTATTAACTTTGACAAACTGTAAATAACTGTTAGTTATTTGATTAAAGTTATGGTAAGTGATTCCGTGTTCGTCTGATTTCGCCACATCGCCAATATATATTGAAAAGTTCTCAATAGTTAACTTATAATTCACAACAAGAAAGAACATCCCACATACAACGCTACAACATTCACAAAAAGGGAACTTTCGAAAATTACAAAACCACTCTTACTTTACTTTAGTATAATTATAAAATAAGACTTTGAATTTGTTTTATCTGTATGCAGGATACCAAAAATTCATGAAACCTTTATTAAGACCGATATATAGGCGGATAAACAAAAGCTTCGACAAAACATCTGTTTAAATATCATACCACCATTTTGTATACAGTAAAGTATGTCCTCATAAATATTTGATAATGTATATTTTACTAATAGTGTCAATTAAACTTTGAAAATCCTAGCATAACAGTTAATGCGTAGCAACTTAATCTAATGGAGTTGGTAATCAAATGTTGAAACATATAAATGAAAAAGATAGGGAACATTTGAAACCTCCACCTTTTAAACAATTTTGTTTTATCTTAACCTTAAAGACAATTTGAACAATTAGAGCAAAGTTGGTTAAAAAAACTAAATGATAAACCTAATACAATTATTTGATTTTGGTCGGGACAGTGTATGCTTTGTAAACAACAATCGGATAAAAACACAACGTTTTCCTATACCGACAGTATCAAATACTTGGATTTGTGATTAACCATCTTTACAGAACATTTGAAGGACCTTTTGCAGCAGATAAACATAACCTCATTTGAAAATCAGGCTTGTCTTCTTGCTGACTGCATATATATTTGCATGTACAACACTACTGCAGACCAAACCATTAAAATTCCATTAAAATACCATTAAAATACCATTAACAAACCATTAAATCTCACGAATCCATCAAATCGCCCATTACTTTTTGTCAGAAAATTATTAATAGTTTTGTAAAATATGTCATTAGAATAAAGATTAATGGCAAGCATCAATGAAATTACCATTACTTTTTCATTAATTTGACTGAAATAGTCCTCTCTTCACGAGATTAATGGGCATTAAGATAATGATGGGCATTTCTGTAGAAAAAAAAGTAACGCCCATTAAAGTGATAAATAATAACAAACTAATGGCCATTAAATTAAATCAAATCAATGTTATGACTTTTTTAATTTCTAATGGCCATTTATTAGTACCTATATAAGGACCCATTACTTTACATAACTTATATATTAATGACCATTACTTGCCTTGATTTAAATGTTATTATTTTAATGACCATTAACAAACCTGATTTATAAATCAATGTCTATTACTTTACATGATTTTTATATTAATGCTCATTTCATGTTTTTCCATACTCCTAGCTATAGCTGACAGGTTCTTTGTTACTATGTAAGATTTTTGTTTGTTGTTGTGCTTTCCACAGTATCAAAGTTTGAAACAAGGGTCAAACACTGGATATGCAAATGTTTCTATGCATGCATGAGAGTTATAACTTGAACTTGAGCGTTTTTGATGAAGGAAGTAACTTATTCGTCAAAAAAAAGACCAAACTTTCCAGAAGAAACCTTCACTTCTGGATTTCCTTTCAAAACACACAAAAGACGAATCGGTTTTCAACATTGCTGATCTGGAACGACTATAACTAGAATATTTAATAATTCTTCCTGTACCATGATGAATTTCATGATGGAAATAATATTTTTGAATGCTGCTGTTCATCTGACTACATTCTCCTTCACAATTCTTATGTAGAGCTCTATTTTCAGATTAAGATGAAAAACTAATTCCCAACCTAACAAAACAAAGAAAAAAGATCTTGTATTGCTACTCTAGCTACTATATATAAATACAAATTGTATGAAATCACATATGATATAATAATTTTATATATTATCATATGTGACTATAAAGCCACCTTCTATCTAAACCCTGATCAACCAATACTACATCTTAAATAAAAAACCAGGAGAAAAAACACTATATATTCATATTGCTTGGAGTGCAAGATTCCAATAAAAAAAAAACGACCACAAACCACCGTCCCAATATAATCAGCTCAAATACGACAAACTTTTTAGAAAAGCTATTACTTGTAAGGTTGATCGCACAAAAAAAAACATTTTGAATATGGATTAAACTCGGTAAAATTTGACTGACCCGAATTTCCGGATAATTTTAATCGAACGTTCCGGAAATTCGGGTCCATCACATTTTACCGTTTTTAATATTTTATATTCACCGGAAGTGACGTTTCTTGGAAATTCTGGGATGCGATTTTGAAAAGAATATAAATATTTGCCAACCTCAAATGGAATCGTATCTTATTATATCATTTCTTTTGGATATTTGTGGAAACATATTGCATCAATAAGCACAAAAAAGGTAGTACTTTGTAATTATGTAAAATCATTAGCCGGTAATGAAGATTGCATGCAAATATTGGGTCTCAAAGTTCCCCCCAAAATTTGCTCTCAAAGTCCAGACGTAAAAAATGGCTTCAGCGTTATAACGTCGTAGGAAGGCTTTCCAGAAAAAAATAGAATAGCTTTGCAAGACGTCATTATTATTTGGACTAGTGTACACCTTGCAAGGTTTTCATGCATGTCAGACAGTTTTCACTTGACTCGACCTCATTTCATGGATCTGTGAACAGGGCTAAGTTTTCGTGGTTATGTCCATAGCACTAACAGTGGCAGGCCAAGTGTCATCTGACTTTGATCATATTTTCAAGGGACAGTGATCAAAGTTGGGTTTTTGTGTTAGGTCTATTTCTAAAGGGGGAGTCGGACGGCACTTTAAATTGGACCCCACCATGCATAAATTTCAATATTTCCATTAATTGCTCAAGTTATCTTTCTAAAATAACCACCACAAATCAAGCCAGCCATTAAAGTGTTTATGTTGTGGCTTGTAAAGAGTTAAATGGCCATTTAAATACAAACACACCATTTAAGTACAAACCAGCCAATAAAGAAGAAATGATCTATCGATTGAGATAATAATGGCCATTACATTCTTTTATAGATGTACCATTACTTTTTCATGCCAACTTTAATGGTTATTTTTTAATGCCCACTATTATGACTGTCTATTCGTTTTAATTGCTATTAAAATGGAGGAATGGCCATTAAAAATCCCATTGAAATAATGGTGCAAATAATTACGGTTCCATTTAATGCACATTAAAATTTTGAAAATAAAATTCATGCCCATTAACTGTTATAAAATAGAAATTAATGGCCATTATATTTAGTTTCCATGGTAAAATTGAATGGCCATTATCTGGTAAATTCATGCCCATTAATATATTTATGAAACAATTAAGGGCTTATACTTAATGGCCATTAGTCCAAGTTCCATGGCTTTATTTAAGGGTTAATATTCATTTTTTTAATGGCAAGACGATCAATTTAATGGAAATTTACCACATTAAATGTAACCGTAATTTTAGACCTAATTTAATGGGTATATTTCATGGCTCATTAATGGGTATTCTCACAGTAGTGTAATAAATACCGCAGTTACTATAAAAAAAAAAGAAGCTACAATTATCAACAATTAACAAATAACTTCACGTTCGGCTATAACGTATGTTCGTTTAACAATTCATACTTTGATGATTATGCAATTACATCCATCATATTTAACCTACCAAAGTTAAGTTATTGTGTTCCTATATTGGCTTCAACCTGGACAATGGGACTAGGGCTAGAACAAACATGTTCGGCAAAAGATATGATTTCAATGTTTCAACTGTTCTATAATACGACCTTAGACCAAATCAATGACAAATAGGAGTTCTTAATTGCAATGAAACCCAAATCTCAATCTTGAAAACTGACTTATTCATATGTAGGTAGTTGCATAATTAAGTTTTAAGGCAGTCTGTCATTTACATAGTCAATTGTAAAAACATTGCATTTACCAGGTAACCTAATCAAATTTAACACAAGGCCAGGTGTGTGGCCCCGATGTATAGCCAACACCCCTTCATATCTAAGCCTAATTACAATGACTACATTTAATAATTGCAATAGCACATGATTAAAAGGTAACAAATTATGTTCCGGGGATGTTAAGTTGTTCTATGCAGCAATAATATGGAAATGCCTGTTGATAAATTATATGTCCCAGTCGATACATATATTCTCCTCTGGGCGCTTCGATAACCTTCTTTTACATAGATATAAGAAGATGTGGTATGAGTGCCAATGAGATAACTCTCCATCCAAGTCAAAATTTTATAAAAGTAAACCATTATAGGTCAAAGTACGGTCTTCAACACGGAGATTTGGCTCACACCGAACAGCAAGCTATTTTACATCTTCATTATCTACTAGGATTACATTTCATTAGCGCTATTCTTTTTCACTGCCTGTTTAAAAATTTTTTATGCTTTGACAAGTGATGCATAAATACTTTTTTTACAATATACAGACTGATAAGTAAAATTGGTGATGTAGCTCTATTCCGGTTTTTTAAACCAGTAAGTTCGGAACCATTACATGTTGAAAAGAGGATTTTCTTTTCAAGGAATTGATGCTATCAACAACACCAACGCTCTTCATCAGAAAAAGGAAGCATCTAAAATTCCACTTTATTTTCTTTATTATTCTCTTGCTATCGTATCTTACAGTTACATCAAAACGATGGAACCTGAAGTATCTTACTTTAAGCATGTATTGCAAGACCATGATTTAAAAAAATACCTAAAACATCCACTGACATGTGAGTGTTCCACTCGCCTTTCATGAACAGCTCCTTTGGCCATTTTTACAAAAATATATATAAATATATGTAATTCATGTCAAATTAAGTTTACTGGAAATCTAAAATTAATTCGACATGAACATCTCCAAAAGTTGATATATCATGGTTCTCAGTTCAAAGAACCCCAGCACTTAAATTGAAAACATAACTTAAAAAAGGTTCAGGACTACGAAAAAAATGGGCTTAAATTATATAAACACTCTGTAACGTTTACAATGTAACAAGAGGCATACCCATGATACAAATAACAGTATTAAGGAAGATAGAAAAAAAAAACATATACATAATATTGTCAGTTACTTCCTAAAATAATAGTTAAAAAAAACAGGAAAATACCATATATAATTTTTATTATTTATTTATTTTTCAGGGTAGGAGACCATTTGAAGTATCTGTCAATTATAGACCACAGAATCATAGAAAAAGAGTTAACTCAGAAGTAAGGCAAACACGGACAATACATATTCATGTACAGGCACCTTTTAAAATGTGTTTTTGATTTTGTTCAAAAGTTTTGAAATCGTTCATGACACACATGTTTCGAAATATAATTACGTTAATTTAGTACACAAAAGGTCTCTATACTCACCTATTTTTAATGAAATAGTATTTAATAAACCATTAATTTTACTAAAATCCTCGAAAACACGTTTATTTACTTTACTAAGATATTTTTCAGTGCCAAGATTCCTCAGATGATGATTTTGGAATTCGGACGCTGACAGCAAGGGTGAGAAAGAAAAATGTAATGATAGAGAGTAATGAACTTCCGATGATTCAGTTGCTTTGTCGTAATAATGTTTCTTGAAGAAGTGGTATATCTTGATTTGTAAAATACAACTACGAAAACATGTTTTTATTCAAACTTTTGGATTTCATTAAAAAACATCTGGATTTTGACTGTTGTAATAGATGACGCCTTACTATGTTATACAAGTATATAAAATGTAATTCAAAACCACTATTCAATAGGTATAAGAAGATGTGGTATGAGTGCCAATAAGACAACTCTCCATCCAAGTCAAAATTTATAAAAGTAAACCATTATAGGCCAAAGTACGGTCTTCAACACGGAACCTTGGCTCACACCGAACAGTAAGCTATAAAGGGCCCCAAAAATTAAACATTCAAGTCTTTTTGGCATACTCTCATTCCTATTTTTCGTTTTTTTTTTATTCTCCTCAAATTCGTTTTTGATTACAATGTCCTTCACACTTGTTGTATTCGTGCGAACCTGATGAATCGTATGCAGACTTACCACATGATAAGTCTAGTAGGTTTAATTTTGTTTTTAACTAATCCAAATTTACACCATTGGGTCAATGCCGCTGCTGGTGGACGTTTCGTCCCCAATGGTATCACCAGCCCAGTAATCAGAACTTCGGTGTTGACATGAATATCTATTATATGGTCATTTTTATAAATTTCCTGTTACAAAACTTTGAATTTTTCGGAAGACTAAGGATTTTCTTATCCCAGGAATAGATTACCTTAGCCGTATTTGGCACAACTTTTTGGAATTTTGGGTCCTCAATGCTCTTCAACTTTGTACTTGTTTTGCTTTATAACTATTTTGATCTGAGCGTCACTGACGAGTCTTATGTAGACGAAACGCGCGTCTGGCGTATTAAATTATAATCCTGGTACCCTTGATAACTATTTACACCACTGGGTCAATGCCGCTGCTGGTGGACGTTTCGTCCCCGAGGGTATCACCAGCCCAGTAGTCAGCACTTCGGTGTTGACATGAATATTAATTATAGGGTCATTTTTATAAATTTCCTGTTACAAAACTTTGAATTTTTCCGAAAACTAAGGATTTTCTTATCCCAGGAATAGATTACCTTAGCCGTATTTGGCACAACTTTTTGGAATTTTGGGTCCTCAATGCTCTTCAACTTTGTACTTGTTTTGCTTTATAACTATTTTGATCTGAGCGTCATTGACGAGTCTTATGTAAACAAAACGCGCGTCTGGCGTATTAAATTATAATCCTGGTACCTTTGATAACTATTTACTGTCATCATTTTCGATATTGCCCGTTACAGACTTTGCATAAAGGTTCGCATGAATAAAAACTGTGTGAAAAGTAAAATCACCAAAATACCGAACTCAGAGGAAAATTCATATGACCCTAATCAAATTGCAAAATCAAAAGCTCAAACACATCAAACGAATGGATAACTACTGTCATATTCCTGGCATTGAACAGGGATTTTCTTATGTAAAAATTGGTGTAATCGAGAAACGCTCCTTTCGTAAATTTTCATTTTTCAATAATTTGTGAATGTCACACATCACAATTCAAAGTCAAATATATCGGTTCATTATTGGACACAAGTTGTTGTTGATCTCTAGGATACATGGAACCACGATTTAAATTTTCAAATTAATACGAAATTTCCATGACAATGTATGCTATTGGTAAAACCATGAAATGAAATATCATTGAACATGCAAGTTTTCCACAACCCACGAAAATTGGTATCAAATAACAAATTAATTAAGGCATAGTAACTGTATTTCTTTACTTTAAAGATAATTTTATTCCAATATTCTTGTATGCATAGTGACATATGGGTACCAATTGCGCGCCTTTATTATCAGACGTGTTCTTGCACTTTTATTAATTACAGTCCATGACCAACATGGCTTTTAGAATACACCTTTAGGTTATATATTAGTCAGATTATGTATTATATTGTTAGTTATGATATTTTTGAGACTAGATTTCAGAACTGACTATTTGAGGCAGAAATGGATAAAAAATGTTATGATATAAGGATAAAAGTGTTTTAAAGATTTTTTTATTTGAAAACTATTAGCTTAGTTTGCACTTTGTAAATACAGCCGTTACATAAACTCCACTTCTTTTTTGGAGAAATTTAATATTCACAGATATGTTGTTTTGTCAACCTATTAGTTCCCAGAAATTATCTTTATTTTTCACTTCGTAGAGACCCAACTTGAAAATGTTTTAAAAAAAGTTAAAGAGCAATGGACATTTAAATCTAGAAAGTAAATTGTGTCACATCTAATTGATGCAGTACAGGACATATCATCTTAAAGAGTAGGGAATTTCAATATGTCATTCTCTTGTTTGATGGGGAAAACTTTGTTGCAATGAATACTTGGCACTCATACCACATCATCTTATATCTATTTATATGATTACCGGCTTTACATTCAGATAAGGAATTCCTGTAAGCCATAAAATATTAATAATGAAGGAGTATATAACAAACCACTTATCTTACTGAAACCCTCCAAAACACGTGAACTTACATTACTTAAATATTTTTCAGCGCAAAGATTCCTTAGCTGATATTTTTAGAAATTGGACTCTGCCAGTAACGGTGAGAAAAAAACATATGTAATGATAGATACTATAGAACATCTGCTGATTTAGTTGTGTCATTATTACGGGACAGTTTTTTAAAGGGATATATCTATATTAGTAATTGCCTCTACGGTAACTTGATTTTTGGTTTCACAAAAAATCTTTGGAACTTGTTTGTTGCAATAAACGAGGCCTTCTTAGATCATATATATGAACAGTTGTATCACTACTCGAAAACGTACACACACAAAGATATAAATACAGAAAAAAGGTCAACTTTTGGCAGAGGAAACTCATCAAAGATGCCAGGCAGAAACTTATGTACCCCAGACTTATCAGTGACGATCAAATAAAAATCTGTATCCTTCATAATTTGTTTTCATAAATTTTGCGGTGTTAAACCATTGGTTTTTATCTTGATTACGCAATATATAGAAAAATTCATAGTATTAAATATGCACAATTATGTAATCAACGAGACTCATAAACCTATATTTACATAATAGTAATCGAAGAACTGGTCATTATAGTGATAAATGGACTGCTGACAGGACAGTGGTATTGACCAAGACAGTGATAATGACTGAGACGTATGTTTTTTTTCATTGAGGAACCCTGTTTTAACAAATTCTCATAAATTAAAAATGTTCGAAGCAAACCCGAGTTATTGAACGATTTCTATAGCAAAGAGTGAAGACCAGTCGTAGTATTACATGTAGCTATAAGTCACTGCCATTTATGTAAGTGCAATTTTTAGTATATGAATACTAAATAAAGTTTTTTTTATAATTTTATAATATACGAAAACATATGGTAAACAATTCAACAACTTAAATAAAAACAGGAAAATGTTTTATTAAAGGGAAATCTCCCCAAACAGAGAAACCACGACCCATCGGCCATTAACATGTGGAAGTTCATAAACGACCGGTTTTCTGGTCCGTTCTGTTCTGTTAATGACCGACGGAATTTATTACTGAAGAATAATGAATACCATGTGAACACTTTTTATCCAATAAGAGAAGCTCATTCTTAACCGATATGAAATAATACAAAATATATAAGAGTCACTTACTTGGTCAAAAAACACATTCGCACAAAGTGACGTTAAATAACACACTTAAAACATTTTTGACACATATTGCAACAATATGACTTAAATTGTTGCCAGTTTTCATGGAAACTGCGAACTTTTTTTCTGTTAAAAATGTTGAACCCTAGTGTATATATCTTAAGATGTATTAAGTAACAAAAACCCTCACCCTCATTAGTTATATGTTTATAACGATATCATAAACCAGTAAATGAGGTAACTTATATAAGATATCAATATAAAAAAACAATCACTAAACAAGTTTAGTACGATTATTTTAGGTTTTTTTTATATTTCAACTAAAATGTACATTATTCAAAACATCTGCTGAAACAGAAATGAACATATTATAATATTTTAGCTTATTGTTTATATTTCAGGATTGGAGACCGTTTGCCGTACCTGTCAATCATACGCAATATATTCATAGAACTAGTGTTAACTCCGAGGTAGGACAAACACGGACATAACATATTCATGTGTAACTGCTTGTTGCAAAAGTCAGAAAATTATTTGAGACCCACAATTCTCAAATTATAATTTCGTTAAATTAGTAATAAAAAGGTCTGCATATTCACATATCCTAATATTACTAGAACAATCGGGTTTTGAAGTAAGAATAATTGTCATAATATACTTGGTATAGTAAACTAACACCATTTGATAAATCTGAACAAAAACAGAGGCGAAAGATAACAAAGGGACATTCAAACTCATTAGTCGATAATACACTGACACCGCAATGGCTTAAACAGAAAGAAAAAAAAAACACATCAGATAAACATTAGTACACACAATACAACATAGAAAATTAAAGACTGCGCAAAACGAACCCTACCAAAAAATAGGGGTGATCTCAAATGCTGCAGAAGGGTACGCAGATCCTGCTCCACATTTGGCATATGTCGTGATCTCATGTTACTACAAACCCGGTTATAAGTTTATTTCGGTATGTCACATCCGGGTAAAGGGGATGGGATTGTTGTTACGTCATAAGGAACATATTCGCTATCATCTGCGAAACAGATATTCCGTAACGGTCAACCAACTCGTGATGGCGTCCGTAAAATTAACGAAGGAATCATTTCAACTTAAACACTACTTGGAATTCTTGAACTTATAGCTGGTAAGACGCAACACCCTACGAAGGAAATAATGATTGTAAATACAAGCCATGAAGTATCGTATCAACTGGAAGATATACACTCATTATATGGACGCTGCAGAAAAAGTGTTACTAAAAAATGAAAAGTAAACAATTGGAAAACTGAAATCATCTCTTTTACTCATAAAGTTTGGTTTTCAACCAACCATCATCGACTGTTTTGTAATGTAACAGTAAATATCACCAGGATATTGACGCATGAACTTTCAAAAGTGTAACTTGACGAATCGTACGAAACGAGACCTGCTGTTTTATACATAGGAATGTTTAAATCTAACATAAACACGTTGATTGAAGTATCGTCTGCATGCAGTTTAAAGAATATATTAGATCTATATTGTGTCTGTATCGAACTCCACATAATAATAAGGCAATGTTTTCTACAAAAGCAAACGGTGCACTCAATAGTCAAGACTCTGTTTGGAAAAAATGAGATTCCACAAGGATTTGGTAGTTGAGGATATATGAAATTAAGGTTCATGTGTGGAAATTGCTTGTAATTGACGGAACTATAAATATGCCTGTGCTGACAAGAATTATCATTGATATGGTCACATTTCTAAATTAACTGTTTACAAAACTTTTGAATTTTTCGACCTCAGGAATATATTTCCTTAGCTGTATTTGGCAAAACATTTAGGAATTTTGGTCCTCAATGCTCTTCAACTTCGTACTTTTTTTTACCTTTTTAACTTTTTTGGATTCGAGCGTCACTGATGAGTCTTTTGTAGACGAAACGCGCGTCTGGCGTATTTAAAAAACAAACTTTAATCCTGGTATCTAAGATGAGTTTATTTATGGGTCTCAGTGACATTAATTACACCTTTCAATTTCAGCAAATTGTTTCTATTTTCTATTTAAAAAGTGAGAAGCTAAACGTTAGCTAAAACATTCTTTTTGGAAAGAACATGTTAATCTTATGATGTTTTTTTTTTCCTGAACAATTGAGCGAGAGGTGCGAGTCGAAAAACATTATTTTTTGTCCTGCTAAAAAAAATAAATTCTTTAATGCAAGTTTTGTATGAGGGTAGATTTTTATGTTAAGACGTAAGTAATAAAAATAATTACGCACTTGACTCCTAGATATCATTTTGAACCATGGAAGTGAAAATAAAATCAGCAAGACTTTCGCGAAAAACATAAAACAACATAAAAAAACCATTATCTCCCCTATTGTCAATCTCAATGGCCAAACAAAAACAAACAGTAAATGGTCATGACTCAAATGAATATAAAATTTAAGATTTAAACATGAAGTTTAAAGCTAAAACTATAACATAATAGTTATAGCCTTGACATTTGAATCAAGTGTAAGGGACTTTTCGAGGACTCTTTGTTTCTCTTCTGCATCAAAGCTATCTTTGAAAAGTTAGGCATATCGCGCATGGAACATCCATTTAATATCCGAAAATAAGGAAATATAGTGTAAATTCACTCACGTCTAATACGTTGCTTACGTTTACCATGATTACATACATTTGCGCGGGAATTGTTCATGCATGTTTTTTTAATGTTAAAACCAATTCATTTTAAGGAGTTTCTTGATGTATAGTACTTTAAATTTCTCGACAATTTGTTTGGTTTAATTTTATATATCAAAGACTATGCCATCATCAAATTGTTTACGTGAATCAGCAAAGGTTGCCAGACTAAGATGCAACAATGTATGAAAAAATTGAGGGAAAAAAAACAAAACGGGAAATTTTCATTTAAATCTAAGTTTAAATGTAAACAAAACGAGCGAACACGTGAAAGTCCGTGACAGTTCAAGGGGAACCCAAAGTTGACTTAACAAACATACACCCTGATAAACAATTTTGATTTAGAAACAAGCAATTAGATATAATATAAATGTCTACAAAACAACAGCAAACCAACACATAGACGATAATCCCAATCAATTTAAATATAGTTCAATATAAACATAGGGGAACAACCATTTCACTTCGGGGAGAGGAGTACATAAACAATCTTCCACTATGTATGTTCTGAATTTTAATACTGATGATTTAACAGTAAACATACTTGGATGAAATCGAAGATACTCATTGAAAAGAAGATTCTTTATGTAAGCTTACAAACTCTGCTGTATGTACTCAACACAGGTCAACACGCAGAAGTATGACACAGGGGGAGGGAATTTTTGAAAATGAAGTTAAGAAAAAAGACCTGTATTATGTGTGTGTCACTCTTGCAGTTTTTTGTCAAAAACAAATTCTAAAAGTCAGGTTTTAAGTTTATTTTTTTTATATTTGGGGAGCAATATATTTGCTTGTTTTTTCTGAGGTTGAATAATGCAAATACGTATTTAAAAAATACAATCTTTTATTTTAGCGGTATTTTCGTTTTCTGACGAGGTCTTTTTTGGCAAATTTGTTTGAGTTATCTCCTTCCAATGGTTGTATTATAGTTTACCTCGTATGTACCGAAATTCCTATGTCCTACGAAAATTCAAGTTTCACCTGTGTCTTTGCATGCAGTATAATGGTTCTTGTAAGGCAAACATTGAAGCAAAACGCCATCTTAGTGCGATGACAGCCTTGATTAAGATTACAATGATCATATTTTGGAAATAGTCAAAATAGAAGATCCCTCAGACGTACGTACCTTTCGTCAAATTGTAAGAAACATCTATTACATTCGTTCTTTGAGATATGTTCGTTCATCAATATCCTGGTCTTATATAGTAGATAGTTTTAAAGGAATGCAAAAGCTTAATTCCATCATTTTAAACCATGCAACATATAACTGAGATAATACATACTGCACTTTGATCAAATAAAAAAAATATACAGGATACATATTGAATAAAAATATCGTAAAATATTACTGTTATAGGACAACTTAATGAACCACAAATCGTACTATATTCCCCAAAATACGTTTATGTACAGTATCTAAATATTTTGTAGTGCGAGGATTTCTATTATGATGATTCTGGAATTTCGACACTGACATCAACGGTAAGACAGAAATATGTAATAAGACTATAGAACATCTGCTGATTCAGTTGTTTTGTCTTAATTAAGGAATAATTGAATTACAGTCATATCTTGATTAGTGAATTGCAAATACTTGGGTCTTTCAAATCTTATTATATTTGAGTCGTTGGAATTTGAGTGTTGCAATATATTAGTCCTAATTATATCATATATGACAACATGATAATACACTGCTTCTCGAAGACAATAGACGTACACACACAATGCCATACATATATTGTCAACATATGGTAGGCAAAATTCATAAGAGATGCCAGGCTTATACTGTTGTACCCCATATACGTGTTTTGTCAACCAAAGACTCATCAGTAACGCTCGAATCAACATACGTATCCTACTGGTTTTTTTTTTGTGAGTGTTAATTTAAATTCAATATATTTAACATGTACAAATAGATTTATATCAACGGAATTCTCATCAACTCACACTACAAAATTTAAGAGTCAACTACTGGGTTAAAAAAACACCTGCACAATGCTACGGTAATAACTTATTTTGGAAATTTCGTAATAACTTATTTTGGAAATTTCTCCTGTGTCCACCTTTTATTAAACCCGTGTTGCATAGTCTCATTCTAAACTTATTGTTGTTTTTTTTTGTTTTTTTTTTTTATTCTCTTCAACTTTGGTTTTGATGTCCCGCAAACTAGTTTTATTCGAGCGCACCTGATGACTGTTATGCAGACGTACCAAATTATCAGTCTGATATGTTTGAGGATTATAACCAATACAATTATACAGTCATCATTTTACATGTTCGTTTTATTTGCTACATAAATGACACAAATGTGCTAACTGATAACGTCAAAGTGAGAGTTCTGTAAAATTGTCTAAGATATTAAAGTAGCATTTATTTTATGCTATATATTTTGCTTTTAATAATAAAAATATCTAAAACATTGAATAAAAAAACACTTTGAAATGTAACATCATATCGCATATTAGAATACTTTTACTTAACAAAGGAACTTCTAAATGCTTGTATGTTTAAACTCTATTCAATTTCAGACAAACGAACTTAGGAACGCACTAAGTAAGTATACTGTGTTTAATACATGAGTACACCATGAATTTAACTCCGGATTAAACGCATGCTTAAAGGAATTCATTGGTGTATGAACTCGACCAATTACTCACATCTAAGGACTTTCATGATACGTTTGTGAGTGCCTTGGTCCAGTTTCTACATCAATAAATTCCTTTAAAAAGGTGTTTAATCCTTATACTTCTTATAGGAGATAAGGAATTCATTTTCCATTCTAACTACCTCTATCATGTGTTGGCATGGCGCACGCATATAATTGATGGTTAAAAAACATTATGTACTCCTTGAAATTTGCTATCTTATAAAAAATATCTGATTTTCATTCAAATGAATGTTTTTCGTGTTATATTTAATTTAACGACTAACGAGAAGGGAGAATAAATATCTTTATATTGAGCCGAATTGTGTTATTATCGTCGTCATTTTGTTTACATTGTTTACCAAAAGTTGTTCGAATATATTCGTTAATCGAAAAATTAATAACGCCAAGAGCTATTGCCGGAAATCCTCTCGACCATTCATATTAACGTATTCCTTAATATGCTTATCAGATAAATTACAAAATAATTCATGTTAGCAATTGAAATTCATGGAAATGTCCAAATGACCTCTGCTGTTATATTGAAAGTTTAGCTGGGCGTTACAATGAACTGTTTCATTTCTAAAAAAAAAAGATTATAAATAATACACCAAGAAAAATAAACCGTGTGTGTGTCTGTAAGATTTTAGCAGATCTAAGATAAAGTCAAACATTTTCAATAAACAAAAGGTCTTGCATGATTTATTTCTTAAATTAAATCTACACCTGTGCTCAATCCTTTTAATCATCAATCCAAACACTTGCAATTTTTTATTTACAATTTGATTTTTGATGGCTACAATCGACCGTTAATACCAAATCTAACATGCTGTAATTCAGTAGTGACCTACAATGATAACTTGCCGTAATCAATAAATATGCTTTTGAAGAGATTTGAAAATAAAATTACACCTTCTACAAAACGTCATTTTACCTAGATATAATCCGAATTCGAAAAGTTGACATTCAGTGTTAGAGTTTTCAATTGAATGACGTCATGCTTTGACACCATTGCGCCCTTATCATTCGTGGAAATATTCGGAATTTTATTTAAATATTATTTTATTCACTTTTTCAACCATAATGTACATTTTGTTTTGTCATTGAATTAAAGAGAAATACATATTGGAGACTATGCTCGTATAAAATAAGGAGATGTGATAGGAATACCAATGGGACACAAACGTTAGAATGAAGTGGATGTAAACCATTATAGGCAATTATACGGTCTTCAACAATGAGAAAATGTAAAATATGAAACAATTTAATTGAAAAATAAAACAGATTAATTCATAGCAAAACAGTTTACGAAAATCATATATGACTAACAGGTACCAACGACGATCACTGAACTACATGCTCCAAACAAGGGACAGGCACATTAAGAATATGACGGGGTTATACATGTTTGTGAGGTCCCCTTTTGCTGACTGCTTTACTCCTATTTTTTGACATCTTATGTCTGTTTGTTATATAGATATAAGAAGGTGGTACGAGTACTAGTGCTAATGAGACAACTCTCCATCCAAGTCACAATTTGTAAAATTAAACAATTACAGGTCTAAGTACGGTCTTCAACACGGAGCCGTGGTTCACACCAAACTGCAAGCTATCAAGGGCCCCAAAAATGACTAGTGTTAAACCATTCAAACGGGATACCTATCGGTCTAATCTATACAAAAAACGAGAAACACTTATGAACCACAGCAACAAACGACAACTACTGAACACCAGATTCCTGACTTAGGACAGGTGCAAACAAATGCAGCGGGATTAAACGTTTTAATATGGACCAACCTTCACCCTTATCTGAAACAAAGGTGTTACATCACGACATAGGAAGATACACTATAAAATATCAATTGAAATGATTTAACTCAATCAAAAGACACATATATTAACACAAGTGAACATCCACTGAACGGATACATTTGATCTATGATACATTTTAAATACAAAATCGATGAAATAAGGGGTGAAAATGGAGGTCACAATAGTATACCGCCGTCAGATATTAAACAATTAAAAAAAAAAAAAAAAACAATAAGCTATACAAGATAAACACAGGCGAATGAAAATAATTGTGTAGTAAAGTATACCGTAAAAATGAAAAAAATACTTTTTACAAAATTAATGATTTTGTTGTTCATAGTACGAAGAAATGAAAATTTATAGTCATTCCAAACTCTTATCAAAGCTGGTATAAAGACGAGATATAACCCTGGATAAGTGAGCATTACATAAAACAAGAGGCTCTCAAGAGCCTGAATCGCCCACCTGTTATTTTTTGCTAAAAATCTTTCCACAATGATAATTTTGCTTTTCAATATATATAAATGAGTGTCTTAAAGATTCCATTTACAAGTTCTTTGTATCTGTCATATTTTCTTCAAAAGCGAAAACAATGCATTTTACCCCCTATGTTCAATTTTAGTCATAGTGGCTATGTTTCTTGACGTACAAGGAAATAAAATACAAAATTTATACTAGATATTCTGAAACTCATTCAGCCTTACTTTTACTGAAATTGATTCAGCAGTTTGAAAGCAAGCAAACTAGATGAACAAATTCAGAAAAATTGTCCATAAAGGGCAGTAACTCCTAAGAGGGTCGATTGACAATTTTGGTCATACAAACTTTTTATCATTAATAATATTCAATATAATAACTAAAAACTTCAAAATTTCCTTAAAATTACCAATTTAATGGCAGCAACCCAACAATGGGTTGTTAGATTCATCTGAAAATTTCGTTGCTGATAGAACTTGACCTAATGAACAATTTTACTTCATATCAGATTTGCTCTAAATGCTTTAGTGTTTGAGATATAAGCCAACAACTGCATGTTACCCCTATGTTCTATTCAAGCCATGGAGGCCATGTTTTTTGACAAAACAGAAAATAAAACACAAACTTTATTCTAGATACCCTAAGGATCATTCAGCTAAAGTGTGGTTAGAATTGGTGTAGTAGTTTCAGAGAAGAAGATTTTTTAAAGTTAGAAAACATGATAAACCAATGTGAAAAATTGTCCTTCAAATGCAATAACTCCTTGAGGGGTTAATTGACAATTTTGGTCATTTAACTCATTTGTAGATCTTACTTTGATCAACATTTTTGCCGTTAACAGTTTATCTTTATCATTAATAATATTCAAGATAATAACCAAGAACTGCCAAATTTCCTTAAAATTACCAATTTAATGGCAGCAACCCAACAATGGGTTGTTAGATTCATCTGAAAATTTCGTTGCTGATAGAACTTGACCTAATGAACAATTTTACCTCATATCAGATTTGCTCTAAATGCTTTAGTGTTTGAGATATAAGCCAACAACTGCATGTTACCCCTATGTTCTATTTAAGCCATGGCGGCCATGTTTTTTGACAAAACAGAAAATAAAACACAAACTTTATTCTAGATACCCTAAGGATCATTCAGCAAAAGTGTGGTTAGAATTGGTGTAGTAGTTTCAGAGAAGAAGATTTTTTAAAGTTAGAAAACATGATAAACAAATGTGAAAAATTGTCCTTCAAATGCAATAACTCCTTGAGGGGTTAATTGACAATTTTGGTCATTTAACTCATTTGTAGATCTTACTTTGATCAACATTTTTGCCGTTAACAGTTTATCTTCATCATTAATAATATTCAAGATAATAACCAAGAACTGCCAAATTTCCTTTAAATTACAAATTTAGTGGCAGCAACCCAACAATGGGTTATCAGATTCATCTGAAAATTTCAGGGCTGATAGAACTTTACCTAATGAACACTTTTACACCGTGTCAGATTTGCTCTAAATGCTTTGGTTTTGGAGATATAAGTCAAAAACTGCATTTCACCCCTATGTTCTATTTTTAGCCATGGCTAGCCATGTTTTTAGACGAAACAGAAAATAAAACACAAACTATATTCTAGATACCCTAAGGATCATTCAGCTAAAGGTTGGTAGGAATTGGTACAGTAGTTTCAGAGGAGAAGATGTTTGAAATAGTTTACACCAGACGGACGACGACGACGCACGACGACAGACGACGACGGACGCCAAGTGATTGCAAAAGCTCACCGTTCCTTCGGAGTTCCTTCGGAACGGTGAGCTAAAAAAAACCATCACAAATAGTATCAACAGGTAAAATTAACAAGAACTTACGATTTGAGAGTACTTGCAGTCACGGACAGCTAGTTTAAATCCAAAAACAATCAGTAATAAAAAAACTATGCATCAGAGACTAAAATCAACTAAGAGACATCACAGGGACTTGTACAATGCCAAAAATAAATGTATCGACAGGTAGTAGGATAGTTAGGAGTTAACCTCTTTATGCTCTTTATAGAAAAAAAATGAGCGTGTATGTGTCTTTAAGCATCCCTCTTAAAAAGAATATTAATTTAGTTATGTTTTAATTTGCTGATGACAAAATCGATATTTGTGCCAATGTAAAAGAGGGACGAAAGATACCAGAGGGACAGTCAAACTCATAGATCGAAAACAAACTGACAACGTCATGGCCAAAAATAAAAAGACAAACAGACAAATAATAGTACAGATGACACAACATAGAAAACTAAAGACTAAGCAACACGAACCCCACCAAAAACTGGGGGTGATCTCAGGTGCTCCGGAAGGGTAAGCAGATCCTGCTCCACATGTGGCACCCGTCGAGTTGCTTATGTTATTACAAATCCGGTAAATAGTCTAATTCGGTAAGTCACATTCGTGAAAAGGGAAGGGTATTGTAGTTACGACATAAGGAACATATCCGATATCATCTGTGAAACGGTTATTCCATAACGGTCAACCAACTCGTGATGGCGTCCGTAAAATTTACGAAGGGATGACTTCAACTTCACCATTTGGAACTCTTGGTTTAATAGCTTCCTTGTGAGCAGCAATCCTCTATCAAGGAAATCATGATAGGAAACACAAGCCCGGGAATATCGTATCAATTGGGAGATATATACTCCGTATGCAGGCGCTGCTGGAATGTTGCTACATAGAAATGGAAAGTTCACAATTGGGAAGCTGAAATCATCTCTTTTGTCGTAAAGTTTTGTTTTCAACCGACCCTCATTGTCAATTTCTAGATGTAAGTCAAGATATGAGGCAGACTTAACTGTATCTGTAGTATCCTTTATCTCTAGTTCGATGGGATAGATTCGTTCAACATAGTCACCAAATTTTGTATTATTTAGTGAGAGAACATCATCTATATAGCGGAACGTAGAGTTAAAGGATATTGTTAACTTCTTATCTCTCTTCCTAAGAAGCTCCTGTATGAAGTCAGCCTCATAATAATAAAGAGTAAATATATATTGTAAAATATATTCAAAGATGTAATTACAACATTGGAAAGATAACTTTTACTAATAAGTTTGTTGAAAGGTTCGATGAGTTTACACGGATCATAAAGGGATTTCTGCGCTTTTAGTACAATATTACCGTCAAATTTAGGATATGAAATGCCATTTTTAATAAGTTTTTCTACAGGAAAAGCCAAATTTACTCATCAAATTTATGTATCTATGACAGAATTTATTAAAAGTTTTAAGTAATTTATGGTAACGAAACCCCTGACATAATAATTAACTAATGATGCATTGTTACGTTAGTTAAAATCAATGACATCACTAAACACACGGGCATAACGAACGAGTTGGGATATATAAACACCGTATGATAGAGTCAAAGGAACATCGCCGCCTAAAAAAGGAAAATTAACAACAGGGAATGAAAAATCGTCTCTTTTGTCGTAATTTTTATTAAATAAATCCATTATGGATACATGGATACAAAAAATTGACTCATCAGTGACCCTCCAATAAAAATATGTTAAAAAATGCCTAATAAAATACAAAGTTGAAAGGGCATAGAGGAACCACAATCAGGGTTTCAAACTACAGCAAGCTTTGCATAGTTTATTTTAAATATTCGGAATAACCGTTTCACAGGTGATATCAGATATGTTCCTTATGTCGTAACTACAATACCCTTCCCTTTTCACGAATGTGACTTGCCGAGTTGGACTATTTGCCGGATTTGTAATAACATAAGCAACACGACGGGTGCCACATGTAGAGCAGGATCTGCTTACCCTTCCGGAGCACCTGAGATCTCCCCCAGTTTTTGGTGGAGTTCGTGTTGCTTAGTCTTTAGTTTTCTATGTTGTGTCATCTGTACTATTATTTGTCTGTTTGTCTTTTTATTTTTGGCCATGGCGTTGTCAGTTTGTTTTCGATCTATGAGTTTGACTGTCCTTCTGGTATCGTTCGTCCCTCTTTTATCTGTTGCCGGGGTAAAACTCTTTTGTATTTCGAAAAAAATAATTTTGGTTATGACCCTATCAATGATAATTAATGTCATCACATATAATTTGGTGATATCCTAGTGGCATTGATTCAGTGTTTGTGAACATAATCATCATATAGATACCATGATTAAAATGCGTAGTTTTCAACAATTTAGTCTGCTTTTAGTGGCATCCATTTGACGTAGCTCTGTACTTATACATCATGTTATTGTATTATTTTTCTATGATATTTTTTTTATTTTTGTCATTCAGTTTTGCTAATATGCTTTGTCTATATGCCTTTTTGTGATTCTTTGTAACATATGACGTGTCTCTGAACTCATACAGTCTGTCATTGTGTTATTGTTCTATTATAATTTTTGTATTCTTGTCTTTCATTTTGCCAATATGCCTTTTTGTGTTTTTTTCTTATAAATGACGTTGCTCTGTACTTATACATCCCGTCATTGTGTTAATTGGTAATGGATACTGTTTGTTAATATATTGTTTTGTTTCTAGAGTGATTTAGATGATAAAACACTGTCGACTGCTGTACCGCTATTTTTGACATTTTTACCTATTGTGTCTGTATGTTCTGTTCACACATCGTTGTTAATAAATGGAATTTTATGCGACTGTCATACAAGTTAGAGGTTAGCTAGCTATAAAACCAGGTTTAATCCACCATGTTCTACATTGTTATCCATTCGTTTGATGGAGATTGAAGAAAAATTAATATTTGTTAACTTAAAATCTTTTCAATTAGCATTGTCAAATTAGTAGTTGCTGAAAGGGAAATTGTGGTCAAAAAGCTAACTTTGAAGATATGTTTTGTTTTTCTAGGTTTAAATGATACATATAACAGTACGACAAGTGATGACAAAAAAAGAAGTAAGTAAGACTTTCGATATTTATTAAATAAAACGTTCGAAATATCGTTTGTTCTCATTCTTTGCGACTTAAATTGGGATTCTTTGTATTGAGATATTGGAAAATGTTTGTAATTGTTGCAATGAATTACAAATGAAATAATAAACGGATTCTAGAACACTACACATCTGAAAATAGTTGAAAAGTATGAAACATTAGTAATGTTACGGTAAAATGTTGTCGCTATTTTTACTTTCCAATTTGAAAATGTTGTTAATCAAAATAATGAGCTACTCTGTTTTAATCATTGAAATATCCTGAGGTTGAGAATGTTCATTACATAACCGAACAGTCAAACAGGAATTAAATGACGTGTTTGATTTCTGTCATGATTTTAACTTAATTAGACAGGGTTTATCAAGGAATCATTAAGACTTCATAACAGCGGCATTCCGGCTTTTTGTATGACAATTGCCTATATCCTGTAGACGTGCCCGGTCTTGCTTCATTTGACTAAATGAGGTACACAAGGTTTCTACAGTTGGTATGTGTTTTCCAAGTGAATAGGTGGGGCCTCGGTGGCCGAGTAGTCTAATCAGTTACTACTGTAATCATTAGTCAGTCAACACTGAGGTTGTTAGTTCGAACCCCGCTCGTGCGGGTGCACTCGACTATTAATTGACTAGAGTTGTTAGTTTTCTTATCGAAGATCGGTGGTTTTCTCCAAGCAAACCAGCTTCATCCACTAATAAAATCTTGCTGCACGAAATAGCTCAAAAACAGTGCCTAAAAGTGGCGTTTAAACACAATATAGATTGAATTTCAAAGTGAATATTGTGCAATGTTTAATGCAGATTCTTCCAGGAACAGCTAATATACACTGCATACCCTTAATCGTTTACACTGCTAAAAAGGGGGGGGGGGATCATAAAGCAAAGATATAGATAAGCAAACAAGGTTAACAATTATATTCATAGTATATTCAACACTAAAGATACATACAGAAAGTGACTAAAATGTCGATTATCTGTACAATCATTTGCAAATAAGGAATTATCTCACATTAAAAGGTGACGAACACTTACATTGAATGTTTCTTAATCAATGAACAACATAATAGATAGTACATCCACGTATAATTCAAATACAGACACATTTTTACATATACCAGGTATATTATAAAATAGAATTGATGTGTAAAGCAAACTATTTTCCTATGAAATATTGTCCCCAAGACAATATTCCATGACTATATATCATGAGATATTGTCCTAATATATGGTCAAATTTCTATTGTGATAAGTTGTATGTACATCAACAATATTTCACAGATAAAAAGTATGCATTTTGTCCAGTTACTGGGAGGTTATATTTTGTTTGTATTGAGACAATATTTCATAGACAGAATGTCATCAAATTTTGTCTCATGGGACATTTATTCATGTTAGATATTGATATGTTAATTGACTGATTATAACAAATACACACACATTGATATCCAGTTACATTGTACTCTTGTAACTTCAAAACTCAATCTGTAATTTATCATTTATAAAGTATCTATGCAAGTTTAAAACTAGCTTATGTTAAAATAGATATTAGTTTACGTGTATTATTATATGTGAACAGAATCAAAATATAAATTTCGTATTTGTACTCGTAAAACAATTTCAGTTATGTTTCTTAAAAATGTGCATGCTGCATTTTGTGTACTTTTTCTAATTTTGCAATAATTTGATTACTAACTATTTCCATGGACAGTATTTCATAGTGAAATATTGTCATGGACAGAATTTCATTGTCATTATAGTGAAATAGTGTCATGGACAGAATTTCATAATGAAATATTGTCATGGACAGAATTTCATGATGAAATATTATCCATAATATTAATTAGATAATGTGGCTCAAAGTTCTAATCCGAAGAGATATTCTATTTCTAGGTTTTCAAGATATCAAAAAGTCTATTGAGAAAGAAAAGCCAAGTAAGTACGATACTAAATAACAAATGGTGATAACTTAAAAAAAACAAAGTGCGGCCTTTATCACATTTGTAACGACTTCCATTGGAGCATTTAACAGAAATGTATTGTTATGCTTATTCGAAAGAATACAGTATAAATAGTACTCCAAGGGTGACTGTTGGCCAATATTGTCTTCTTCCGACGGCCGTAAAACCCTCGCCTCGCTATGCTGTAATTTTGCGACCACGTCTGGTCAGAACTTGGACTTTAAATCCAATGCCCCGTGATGAAAGCCACACTCTATCACATTAAGAACCTTTGCAACAACGCTGTTGCTATGCCAGATATATTTTCCTATATAATATACCCTTATTTTCGAGAGGCAGTTTAATTCAACGATCTTTATCCCGGATAGGTTCTATTAAAAGACATATCTATTGTATTAATTGTTTCTTAATTCAGGCGTTAAACATACATGGAATATTTGCAATTTAACATGAACCAATCATCAAAAGGAAATACTCTGATTCGTTTTCGATATGGAATTTGTTTTAACCGAGCCAAAATAACAAAAATATAAGCCCATCCTATCCATACAGTCTGATACACCTTTAAAAGGGAAGGTTGGGAAATAAACATAAAAAAAGTTGTGCCTAATTTGACACAGACTATGTATGCCTGGGGTATATACAAGATCAGCCTCCAATTTCTTTAATAGTTATAAAAAACTAAACCAGCGGAAAATAGCAGCATCAATAATATGATGTCAGACGGTAGACAGGGGATACCTTATCATTCACTAGACTGTGTCGACAAATCATATACATAAGTCTTCGAAGACGTCATGCTACATGATATATTGAAGGCCATACGGTTGCCTATAATTGCTGCTTCATTAGTAAGCTGAAGAATGGTTTCTTATGGCCAATATCATATCTTCTTATTATTATTTAGGTTTATAAGTTGTGTCTTGTAAGGGTTGTACAGCTAAGGTTATCTATTCATGAGGTAGAAAAGCATTAGTATTTAAAAAAATTCTTAAGTAAACAGTTGATTTATAATTATGAACATATCAATGATATTTCATGTAAACATAGAAGTGCTGACTTCTGGGCTGGTGATACCTTCGGGGGAATAAAAACTCCACCAGCAGTGGCATCGATCCAGTGGTTGTAAATAAACTCACCCTATATACCAAGAATTAAATTGTGTATTTGCGCCAGACGCGCGTTTCGTCTACAAAAGACTCATCAGTGATGCTCGAATAAAAAAGTTAAAAGATAGAATTAAGAATATACAAGAGGCAGCCAGAAAGAATTCGGATCATGAAATTGAATCAACGTTTTTACATGAAAATTTTACTGAAAATGCTGATGTTTAAGTATAATGCTTGCTAGAATAAAAGTAAAATAACAAAAATACCGTACCCCGAAGACAAGTCAAAACGGAAAGTCCCTATTATAATGGCAAAATCAAAAGCTCAAACACACCAAACGTTTGTTCTCTTCTGTTGTCAATTCAATCAATGACTCCCAACCTGACCAAATTCATTTTTTGGTTAATAGAAGAAAAATCTTTTCTGGCCGTTACAAACCAAAATATAATGACATTCGAAAAAATGCCCATAGTGATAAACTATCCTGTTCCGAAAGTTGTAAAGCTCAATCATACTCAGTTTGGGTTTTATTGCGACTTCTGTTTAGAGAATTTGATGAATTTTCACTGGATGTTTTGGTATATGCAAATTAACATCCATGCTAAATGCACTGAAAGAAACACGTGATCAGTTCAATGACGTGTTCCCGGTTTCTTAATTAGATATAGATGATTCGATAGACGTCAGTCGAAAACTTACAACAAGGCTGTATGGTCCAAAAGGAAAGTCCAAACGCTGCCATAACAATCTGAACAAGTTCCGGGTTAAATTAGCCACGTGTAGAGATTCCAGCTAGATCCGACTCATACCTTGTGAAGCATCATCAAACACTACGTCTGTATGTCTTCTTTCCAAACCAAAGTCTCGGATCGACTTTACATTTTGTTTAGAAAGATATGAATTATGGTCTTGCATTGGTATTGTTTGAAGGTCAAATTTCATCTGACTTTCTTCAAGATTTGATCTGCACGTGCAAAGGAAAATCAGTTCACAGTAAGGGTTGTGTGTGTTTTGAATAGAATTTATCCTGTACTGAACTTTGTCAATGTCAAACATCAGACTTTTGCAAAAATATCAATACACACCTGACAGAGGCTGATGATGATAATGATAAGGATGCTTGATTATCTGACTTACAGTTGAGATCACTTTTAACCTCTCATTAGAACTGTCAGAACAATGTGTCATAGAGCTGATCAAACTATCCTAGAACAGTTCAATCTAGAACAGTTAGAATCACTTCTAGGTAAAACTGACCAAATCACTTCTAGGTAGAACTGTCAGGATCAGTTCTAGGGTAGAACTGTCTAAAACTGTTCTAGGTAGAACTGTCCAAATCAGTTCTTGTCGTAGAACTGTCAGCGGAACTGTCTAAAACTGTTGTAGCCGTAGAACTGACCAAACCCATCAGGATTGTAGAACAGTTCTTAATGAGGTCACTGCAGTTAGGGCATCTCACTAGTCACCGTTCAATTTAATATATATTATATTTTTGACTTATTTATATTTAAGACAAAGAGTTCTTAGAACTGTTCTATGGATAGAACTGACTAAATCAATTCTAGCCGTAGAACTGACCAAATTAGTTCTAATCGTAGAACTGTTCTAGATGTAGAACTGTTCTAGCCGTAGAACTGTTCTAGCCATAGAACCGTTCTAGTCGTAGAACTGACCAAAGATAGAACTGTCTAAAACTTTTCTAGGATAGAACTGTCTAAAACTGTTCTAGGATAGAACTGTCTAAAACTGTTCTAGGATAGAACTGTCTAAAACTGTTCTAGGATAGAACTGTCAGGATCAGTTCTAGGATAGAACTGTCAGGATCAGTTCTAGGATAGAAATGTCAAGATCAGTTCTAGGTAGAACTGTCTAAATCAGTTCTAGATAGAACTGACCAAATCAGTTTTAGGTTAGAACTGTTAGAACTAGAACTGTCTGAAAGGTGTCAGGGTGACAGTTCTACATACTGTCCTAGAACAGTTCTCCTGACAGATTCTGATAGATTTGATGATAGGTTAGAAGTGATCACCACTGTATTCACATCTTGAACATGCTTATGACTTTATGAAACTTATTTTATCTTCAGTTATTATCCCCTTTTTCTGTTATTCATACGTTTATGTAAGTTTGACAGAAAACGCTATTTCCGTTTCTTATGATAGGACGATCTTGACATGACGAATGTCAAATAACGTCAAAAACGTTGATATAATGCTTATATATTTCATAAATCTCATATAGATACATTTGGATTGAAAAAAATAAATATTTTAGACAGCTTTAGTCTGAATTGAAATTTTAAAAACAAATTATCAAATAGCCAGTGGACCTTAAATCAATGAAATTAACTTTAACCCATCCTTTACTCGACTTAAAAGTTTTGCAAAGTAACAAGCCGTGTTAAGACTTCATGTTTATGAAAAAACAAATATTACCAAAGTTCAAGGCCATCCTTGTATCGAAACTAAATGAAGTCACAAATGAACAAAAGGTGTTATCTAAGAGAAAACGTCAATTTTAACGTTAAAAAATTACGTATTACAAAAAAAAACTGAATTCCCTTCAGGCTACGTATATACTAAATGAAACATTGTCCTCAGCTATCTAAATATATTTTTCTTTTCTGAATTTAACCCAAAATTAACATTTATGACAATATTTGGAAATATATAATTGTTGATCTTTAACCGCAATTATGCAAAATTCTGACCACTTCTCAGGATTACGGCAACATTAATCTGAAAGTTTACAATTTTCTCTTTTCAGTGATATATAATTCAGCCGTGTGTTCGGTGGGTGCATTAAATTAATTTTTTTTCTGATTCTACCGCTGGTCTATTACATATGTTATACAAAAAAAAGCGAGAGTCTTGGTCCTGATTCTGATAAAGGCTTTGATTATAATCTCAATGAATTTCTTTATCAAAATCATGACCAAGTACAGAAAAAATGACAACATTGTCTTCTACATCATCACAATCCTCACGACGACCATAGGGTGCCCAACTGGGTCGTCTGGAGTGCTGTCCAGAAATGGTCCACATTTCAATAGCTGGGACCGGATCAAATGATGCTATATCGTCAGTGTGAAACACTAATTTAACCATTCGCGATCTTCTTCCCAGAATTTTTTACATTTACGTTTCCTTTTGTCAATTTCATAAACGTTTCCGTTCTTCCTTTTGAATGTCATCTTATTCTAATTTTTTTAGTCCGGCGGTTTAACTCTTTCCACATTTTGTGTTGTTGTGAAGGACGCTCACCCTAGATATTAATTATTTAATCAATTGTAATACTTAATACCCCCAGTAGCGTGTAATTGATTTTGCAGGTAAATTGTATTGTAAACAAACCGAGATTGCGATGCAATCAATGATTTTTATCGACAAATTTCTACTGGTTCACCGGACCACCAGCTGACAAAATCTACTGGTCCGACGCAAATTCTACTGGTCTCGGACCACCGAACCAGCGACAATTTCGACCTCTGAGTCTTGTATAATGTAACATTGGTCCTTTAGTCATTTTTTGTTTTTCGCCAAGGCAGTAATAGTTCGTTTTCGACCTTTGAGTTTGAACAGCCCTCTGTATCTTTAGCCTCTCTTTTGTAACACTAGAAGATATTCATCTTAACTATCTGTATGCAAAAAAATTTGAAAAAAGGCAAAGATAATCATTGGAAAAATGTCATTTCATTGTAATTTTGAATTTCAGAAATGGATGATTTAGTGAGTATCATATCAACATGAAACTTAAATTGTATTGTATGCAACTTGATGTTTAGCAAAACAATTAACATATCGATTAATTGTACATACGGCTTACATGACTATGCACTACTTGATCTTTTAAACAGTTCATATAAATCTTGTTCAGTAATATTATCAAAAAGATGTTCGGCCAACTGCTCACAGCATAGAAACCAGAAAATAAAAAAATACAGAAAATAAAAAAATACAGAAATTAAAAAAAGAGAATAATAGAATTAAAAATACTGGCTTCCAATAATTTTATTACTTGCAAAAACTCGAATTGTGTTTGAAAGATTTATTGTCGATCCTCTGAAGCCAAAGAAAAAAATTGAGTTATACATCAGTTTGTATAGTTACACCTACAAGCCTGACCTCTCCATAAGTTGTCATTTGAGTTCTTGGCTGACAGATGCTCGGGTAATTTTTTTAATAAGAAAGGTAGGAAAGTTTCCCCACAGGACATTAAGGAAAAAAACCCACATATAATTGGTCCCTATCATCACTTGTTTCTGGTAACTTAAGCTTAAGTACAGGTCAGTTTATAGATTGATTGATATTTGCATACTGTCATATTATATATGCATTACTTGGTACTAGTAGATTGTATTGATTTGTTTTCTACATTGAATGATTAATTGATTGGAAGATATTTTACTGTCAAGAGATGCCCATTTCATATTGATTAATTCATTGATGGATAGTTACTCTGTTGTTTTTGGTTCTTAGTAATAACAAAAAAAAAATCAGTATATGTTTGTTTTCTGTTCGTGTTTTGATTTTCCTTTGCAATGCAAAAGATACTGAAGGCATCTTCAACCTCATAGTTCAAAAACAAACTGACAATACTATGGAAATTAAAAAAACACATAACCAAAAAAAAAAATAAAAACAAACACCAGTATACAATACACAACTTAGAAATCTTTAGACTGAGCAACCGTAACCACACTTGAATTTAGGGTTGATCTCAAGTGCTCCGAACATGTCAGCTAACCCTGCTCCACATGATGAACCTTGAACAGAAAATAGTATTCAGCAATATAGGTCGTTCAGTCTCGTTGCAAAAGGTAAATGTAAGGTGTGGTTACTGGTTTATATACCCATTTACAATATTGATTTTATTCATTGTAAAATCAGAATCTGGTCTCATGCTTCTGACTTAATAATAAATAAAAATAAACTAAGTTTGATTAGTGTAAGAAGGGTTGACATTATTATTTTTGTTGGTAGCTCAAAGTGATAATGAAAACAATAAAAAAATCGAGACTAATATTTTAAAAATGATTTCTCAAGGAATTTGTGCTTTTAAGTGCCCAATTGGATAGAAATAATACCTACATTTGATGTGTGTTTTGATTTTGCTATTTCTTCTAGAAACACGTACATGTAATGACTAAAAACCTTTTTGCAGATGTTTTTTTACAGTCATAATCACTGAGTTATCTAGGAATAATAGCCTAACAAATATTTTGTTTTATCGCAGATCAATAACAAAACAGAAAGAAAACTACTCGTTGCTGATAATTTACGAATTGGAATGGAAATTGCATTTGGACGAATGAAAATTGCAGATACTAGCTACATCTATAAGCATCATGGGATTGTCATAAAGATTGATAAAACCTGCAATAGATTTGAAATTGTTGAATTAAGGGCTACTGAGTCAGCTTTCAATACATGTTTAGCAGTATTATGCACAAATAGTCAGCCTAGCGTTCAAAGAACAACACTCAAATTTCATGATAGCCTTTTCTACTGTGATTACCAAGATTTTTCTTTTCCGAGTAAACTTGTTAAGAAGAGGGCTAAAAAGATGGTCTTAATTTTTAACAAATCTGATGTAGAGTATAACTTGACGAAATTTAATTGTGAACATTTTGCATGTTACTGTGCAACTGGACTGGCAGTCAGTAAACAGACTTCAAATGAGAATCTTGAGGCAACAGAATCACTTAATAAAGCGTAAGCTGTTGATAGTTATACTCTATATTTTAGTGTACAAACTAATGTCAACTGTTGGCAAAGCTGATACAATAAAACATTTGTACTTCATAGAACGTTATATTTGATTTTGAATTCATTATGCTGATAATTTCGACAGACGTTTTAATCCATTGGTCATGGTATTCGGTGTACCACTGTAAAACAATACTCATGTTGACATTCTTACATAGCTTGACTGTGCATTCATTTAAATATAATATTTTAAATATTGCTTGAAATGGTTGAAGGGAAAGACACTTTGACTTTTATTTCTTTTCCAAACTATTTCAAACCCTGAGCAATATAAAACAAGGGTTGATAAGCATTTTTAGTATGCATGTAAGCATCATCCTATAGAGTACTGATTTATCTAATCTGATAATTGAGGAAGCAGCCTACAACTGTATGTATATTATTTAAGACAATCAAACTATTACACACTCATTCTTATGAAAAACATAATAATGTCAAGATTTACGTTAAAAAATATAAATTATAGAGGGTACAAAAAACAATATATTATGTTTTAACGGGAATCTGTCAAATCTATTTTTGTTTGTAATTACAGACTGGGAATGTATATTGATATACAAATAGAAAAGTATTCTAACAAAACACAGAAACCGTAAGTATGAATAACAGAAAAGGATATTTCATATTCATCACTTAAAATTGCTTTCATCAATTTAAATAAGCAGAGAACAAAAAAAAAAGGTAGAATAACAAAAATACCGAACTCCGAGGAAAATTCGAAACGGAATTTCACTAATTTAATGGCAAACTAAAAAAAATGGATTACAACTGTTATAGTCCTTACTGTGAACATGCATTTTCTAATGTAGACAATGGTGGATTTAACCTGGTTTTAAAGCTAGCTAAACCTCTAACTTACATGACAGTCGCAAAAAATTCAATTATATTGACAACGATGTGTGAACAACACAAAAAAAAAAACACCAACATGATAGGCAAACATTAAAAAAATAAGAGTACAGCAGTCAACATTGTGTTTTGACAAACAAATATGTCAACAATGAACTGACTTAAAATCCAGAATGCGCTAATAGTTGTGCAAAGACTATTAAATATATTCGGGAATACTTATGTCCTTTAAAATTTGAGCTATTCTAAGGATAATAAAATCAGACGTCATTGTAAAGAAAACATGGTGGGTACAGATCTGCAAAATCATCTATTTAATAACACGTTTTATCAAGCTGAAATCGTACAAACTATGTGTCATCTTTATTCAGTATAAAGTTGAATAATGCTATATTACTTTTTTTTGTTAATATGTCTTTTTTATCGAATTCAGTCATTTCAGTTGGTTTTTAATAGTTTTTCGTTCAATTTGGTTGTCGTTTATTGATGTGGATTATAAGTTTTTGTCGTTTTTTTAATATAAATTAGACAGTTGGTTTTCCTGTTTGAATAGTTTTACACTAGTTGTTTTATGGCCCTTTATAGCTTGCTGTTCGGTGTGAGCCAAGGCTCCACGTTTGACCTATAATTGTTTACTTTTTACATATTGTGACTTCGATGGAGAGTTTTCCCATTGGTACTCATATTACATCTTTTTACTTCTATAATATTAAAAAGGGTTTAGTTGACATAAAAAGAAATTGCAAAGATATCCAATAACTAATCAATAAAAGTCTAATCATTTATAATTTTGAAACGTTTATCCATGCATTTTACTGATATGCTTCAAAATAATTTGTCTAAATAAACGGGGTCAAATTTTTAACTAGAATTGTTTTTCATTTTTTAATTATTTCTGAGACAAAATCTGCTTTTGAGACTTGACGAAATATAAAACTATTATCCATATTTTCGAGTGTTAAGATTTGAAAAAGTATAAACATGTTCATCGTAGAATTTAGTGTTTCAAATGTTTTTCCCTTATTTTAATTTTTAACCATTTCGAATGGTTCGTGTACGATTACAACTTTACTAAAGGTGAGGGGGTGCTAGATACTAAGTCACATTTAAACTAAAAAGTCGAGAAGAAAAAACTGTCAACGTTGTGAAAAAAAAAGAAAAAGACAAATGGACAAAATGTCCACACAATACTGATAAATTAAGCAATACAAACATCAACGAAACTGGATAGAAGTCACGTGTTCCTGAAGGTTAAACATTTTCTGTTCGATATTTGTCAACCGTCGTGTTGCTTATGTAGAAACGCACAATTTAAACGACACAACACTGTTCCGTAATCAAACAAAATCAAGGAGAAAGTAAATAATTTTTTTTTTTGGTTATTGATCTGCAACACAGTATACTTCATTACAAGCTCATGTCGACTTTTTTTGTTTAATTTTTTACATTTTAAATGTGTTTTTCTATATAATTTTACCGTTGCCTTTAAATAATGTTTTTATTTTAATTTTTCTTCCAGCAGTCCCAGCGGTAAAGTACTAGAAACCATGAGACCAAGAGAAAGATCTTGTGTAGTACTGTAACACATTTGCCAAAGTTGTGTTTATGAAAAGAATAACCGATACTATGATTTTGAGTATTTTTTTTTATCATTTACGGACATATTAAAGACTAAAGACTAGATTGTTCAAGACATTTCAGCTACGAATAAGACAAACCATAAAATTTGATTGTTTTGGTTGAAACATTGTTAAAGAGGAATATAAAACTAATGTTGTGCTACATGTGATATGAGCAGTCATTTTGATTGAATTTCGTTACAATAGCAAAAACCATCGATGATGTTTTATTGACTTGCAAGTCATTAGTATGACCTAATTTCAATCCGTATGCATGTAACTTCAATTTGATCATGAGAGGATATGAGAAACGCAAGTTTTATTTATTAAAAAGAACAGGATGTCAACATTGTTAAATTAACCAACAGAGACACCAGTAATAAACAATTTCTTTAATTATCTCACCCACAAAATTGTCATTCTTATATAGGTAAAACGATGATATTTATAACTTTTCAATCTATATAATGAAACCAAACAGACCTAGAAAAATAGTCATCATAAAACCTCGTGTGCTTAATTTTTTATTAATATTTTGAAATATTTTAATATCGATTTATATTGCCGTATTAAAACAATCAAAACACTATCATTTGTTCTCTCTCCTCCACAGAAATCACAATCAAAGCACTACCTGATGTATTCAAATAAATTGTTGTACACAATTATTTGTGGGAGGGAAGATCTCCGATCAATTATACTGTTTATTTTTGTAGCTTTTAATTTGTTAATGTAACAATGCCTTTTTAATGTAATGGTTTGGGAAAATTAAAGACGAACTGTGTAAACGAAATTTTTGAAGCCAATTACGTATTATAATGTCAGGTATCTGTTCACCATTAATGACCTGTATAAGGCATTTCGTTATTCCGCTTTTTTCCATGTCAGATATTTGGTGTTTCGTTTATATTCATTTATTTACTTAGATATAGACTGTGTGTACTTTGTGTTTACCATGTCAATATATTCATCGCTACGATGAATTCTAGGTTTTCGAATTTAATTTCCATGTTGATAGGTAGCTATGCAGATTACAGTAACTATATGTCAATAAGCACAACCTTAAACTACGTATTTAAGGAGTGGTTTCTTCATTTCAATTTTGAAAGAAAAAGAAGACTATGGACACAACTAATTTTTGACTGTGTTCTGGTCATTCAATTAAAAAACACTTCTCAAAAGGAATAAATGTAAAATTGAGAATAGAAATGGGGAGTGTGTCAAAGAGACAACAACCCGACCAAAGATCAGAAAATAGCCTAAGGCCACAAATGGGTCTTCAACACAGCGATAAAATCCCACAGCCGGAGGCGTGTTTCAGCTGGCCCCTAAGCAAAAATGTGTACTAGTTCAGTGAAAATGGACATCATACTAAACTCCGAAATATATAAATGAACTAAATCATATAAAACTTACAATGGCCAGAGGCTCCTGATTTTGGGACAGGCGCAAAAATGTGGCGGGGTTAAACATGTTTTGCGAGTTCTCAACCCCTCCCCCCTTGCTAATACCTCTAGCCAATGTAGGAAAAACAAACGCACAGCAATACGTACAGTAAAAATGTAGTCGGAGAGTCCACGATGTATGTCAAATGTTTGATATTTCAAAGATACTGGAGTACGCACATTAAACACAAAAGCGGTAAACCATGGGAACAAATGTAATTATAATAGGACGTTCTTCTTTCGCTTTAGAAACTTAGCCATGTTCTTATTCAAATAAAACATGGGCTGATTGAAATTGCAACGTCAGCTGTGTTTTGAAGAAAATCAGAAATTAATAAATGAAAAGCGTGATTGATTATATTTGTATTGCCACAAACATTGCAAATGTTAAAAGACAATAGATAAAATTGGAAATTATATTTGATATTTCAATTATTACTTGTTAACAAAGCAAGAGTTTGTTGGATGGAATCTGGTTGTTTTTATTTCCATAACCTTCTAATTTCTAATGAAGGTTAAACCGCGTGACATTAACTTCTTTTTTGGAATGTTTAATAAACCTCTATTGTAAATGTAACTGGTACTGACACACAGTAAAGATAATGCTTTGCTTGTTTATTATTATGTTTTATTTTCAAAATCAACAATAACTTAAAAAACAACCATCAGAACTTCAATTCACTATCCGAAAAAAATAGAGCAGTAACATATTATCTAGAGTGCTATAAGTCTTTCTTCCATTGACCAAACAGTAATGTTACCCTAGTAGCTCCTATCCCTTGAATAAAAATATAAAGTAATTCATTAAAAGGCTACATAAAAGATTAAAGAATTTAAACTCAGAACTCTGATTTTATTCAATTGATATGATTAATTCCCCTCCTCCTCCTTCTCATCATCATTTGTTCTTTTTTGCTAATTGTTTTGTACATAAATGGATACCTTAACTTTTTTGCGTTATTTGTTTTACCTTAAATCGATTTGGTGCCTTTATAGCTTTCTATGCTGTATGAGTTTTCCTCATTGTTGTAGATTACAACTTCAGTGTAACTTAGTCTCTAATGGAGTTTTATCATTTATTATCATACTGCCGCTTTTTTGTATACTTATATACTTTCGATGAGAGTCTAGATGAGAAACACCCTCGTGTTTGAAAAACCATTGATAATTTATAGGTAAAACGTAGATTGTGCTACCGTTTTTCTAGCTAACAGATTTTCACATATTGTTTTGTCATATTATAATCTTCATCAACAGCATATCATAAATTCATAACTGCAGATTTGCGATAATAAACAATTATTATTATAAACATGTTTCAAAAGGTGTGGCGACCCATTGTCAAACAAAGAAGCGCAAAAAGGCATATAGACAAAGCATATTAGCAAAATTGAAAGACAAGAATACAAAAAATTACAATAGCACAATAACATAATGACGGGATGTATAAGTAGAGAGCCACGTCATATGTATTAATGATCCACAAAAAGGCATATAGACAAAGCACATTAGCAAAAATGAAAGACAAGAATACAAAAATTATTAGACCAATTACACAATGAGGGATAAATAAGTACCGAGTCACGTCTAATGAATATCACCAAAAACAGACTGAACAATAAAAGTAATATTCATCAAGACAAATAAAAGAATAATATAACACGTTATTAAGACGATAAACAACGACAGTACCCAGAATCTTTACTTCATGACCATCGTGTATTTTTTGTGAAGTTGATACGGAATATTTATCAATAAGGTCTTTGTACCTTCCGATGAACTTTTTTAGAAAAAATTATAATGCTACTGCATCAAGTGTGATACGAAAAATGTCATCCAGAGTCAGATTAAAGTTAATATTAAAAATGCTATGGAAAAACAGAAAGGAGGTTCTTGACAGGCTAAAAACTTATATGATGATGTTTTTCAATGTTTTCATAAAGCAAAGATACTACAAATTTCGCACATAAATTGTTGTAAAACTTGTAAGAATACTTTTTTATTCTTTTTTGCACTTCCCGATATAAATTACAAAGTCATTCCATTTCTTATGCTTAGTTATTTCGTAACATGAGCTTTTTTATCACTTTGTTCCTTATTTTTATCAGTGAAATTAAATTTGGCCGCAATTCGTGATTAATTATAAAAAAGAAGATGTGGTATGATTGCCAATGAGACAACTCTCCACAAGAGACCAAATGACACAGAAATTAAGAACGTTTTTGTAACTATGGATTTAAACTAAAGTTTGTCACTTTTTGTTACCAAACATATGCATCTGTCCTTAGCTGTTGTTCAGTGGTTGTCGTTTGTTGGTGTGGTTCATAGGTGTTTGTCGTTTTTTCTTGTTTTCTGAATTAGATTGGATCGTTGGTTTCCTGTTTGAATTGGTTTAAACTAGTTATTTTGGGGTCTTTTTATATTTTGCTGTTCGATGTGAGCAAAGACTACGTTTTGAAGGCGATACTTTGACTTTAATTGTTTATTTTTATACAGTGTCTTGGATTGACAGTTGTCTCCTTTGCAATCATACATTTTCTTATTTATAGTAACAGGTTAAACTGTATGAAACTTTATGAAAATGTTTATTGCTATGCCGAGATGTTTTTTCAGTATTTAGAAATTGGTATCTGTCTTAGGAATTTCGATAACGGCTACCGTTACCATGGAAACTCCAAAATTTTCAAAATGCACCAAACTTTATGAAACTTTACAATAATGTTTACTAGCATGTGCAGAGTTGATATTATATTTTGGAATTTTTAAAATGGTAGCAGTTACCATGGAAACGACCAAAATGTCAAAATTTTTCAAAATGCTTGAAACTTTCTGAAAATTTACATTAATTTAATAGTAACTGCCATATGAAGATGCAACTTTCGATTTTGGAATTTTTAAAATGGCTGCCGTTACCCTGGCAATGGGGGGACGAGGGTGCCATCCGTTATTGCTCGCAATCACAAATCTAGTGTTTGTTCCTTTTGGATTCCGATAATAGGGTTATGGTGTTTTAATACCTTGGAAACGGCCAAAATGTCAAAAAATTTTCAAAATGCTTGAAACTTTCTGATAATTTACATTATTTTAATGGTACCTGGCATGTGAAGACGCGATGTTTGACTTTGGAATTTTCAAAATGGCTTCCGTAAACCTGGCAATTGGGGACGAGGGTGCCATCCGTTATTGCTCGCAAACACAAATCTAGTGTTTGTTCCTTTTGTATTCCGATAAAAGGGTCATTGTGTATTAATAGGAGACAAAAAACTCTATTCGCATTCGACTTAACTATAACAAAAGTATAATACTTTCATGTCAGGTTCACAATAAGGCATTTGACACAGAACAATCATCACAATTAACTGCAAATTTCAACATACTTTTAGCACCACACATGTGTTATCTAGTTTTATTTGACCAATAATTGAACTTGACTACTTGCCAAATCGATGGTTTTTGGTTACCATTCAATGGACCTTGTATATCTGCCAGTCTTTTCGGATTTTATGTTGGCATAGTCTTTCACATGATTGTTTTTTATTTTGGATTCGAAAATAAGGGTCATGGTTTATTGATGAATGTCAGTTTAATCACTATTCGGACTTGTATAAACTATTACATATTCCAGATGGTTTCGACCACCACTTTAGAGAATTATATTAACATGATTAATGTCGATCGCAGTAAACCTAAAAGTTTAACCAGAACAACAACATAGATTAAAAGGCAACAAAGTAAAGTCAACATAACATTTAACTCCGTTGTCTGTACTTAATTAGACCCATAGTGTTGCTTTAATATTTCGGTTTCGTTTTTTGCTCTGTACATACAAAAGCATATTTGAAACTTCTTATTTTTCTAGATAAAACCTTTCAAAAAGTGGATCTATTAAAAACAATTCAATATTACCATATTGATGAGCTTTTCCCAGTAACTTGCATAACCAAATCATAATGAAGATTTTTTGTAGAAATAAGTTCAATTCAGATATTTTTTTTATTGTCAATTATCTTTTAAGTCAACAAGTGTAAAGTATTCTCTGTTGTACAAATGAATTCATGCTGTTCATGACAAGGGTAATCATTCCATTTAAAACCGTCGTCTCCTTCAATAGCTAAACAATTTTCTGCATGTTGTCCATTCGGTTGATTAGTGCCCCAGTCAGTAAAGTCAAATCTTTCGTTGTTCGTATTCCATTCCCATGTTCCTTCTTTCGCAACGTCAGAGGCTCCAATAAAATAAACGCGCAACTTTGCTAGAAAAAAAATTATATTTTGGATGAACTATACCACATATATTCCTGTTTTTCATCAATATATAGACATAAAAAAAATTACTAAATCATACATGTATTCAGGGAAATGTTTTCATTAAAAAAAAGTTTAATCACATATTAATCTGAACTTCCAGCCAAAACTTGACAATAATTACTGCAGGTTTTAAGCAGCTTTAAGATGATAGACTGTAACTTGTAAGCATGTGTACGACATCTGATACTTTGTTTTGTTTTTTCAATGTGCTGAATCAATTTAATATTGTAGTTAAACATTTCTTTGAAACTGATTGAATGAAACATGAGATAAGAAGTATGGTTTTCTGCTTGCATGTTATTTCAACATTTAACATTTGAAATGAAATAATATGTTAAACAAAATAAATCTGTAACCGTTGCTTTACTTCAAACATACCATTTGTATTCAAGGTATTAGAAACAAGGGAGAGATGTGATGAAAAAGAGTTCACAAATCTACACTCAATGTGACGGTCATTCTGTTCAGTAGTACCATAGAAATGACTGATGAAATATAAGGACAAGTTTTGATTTATTATGCAATTGTTTCTATTTTATTATGTTCACGAAAGATATTGCACCGATAGACAAGAAACAAAATATAAAAGTCGGCGATTATTAAAAGGCTTTCCAAGAGCTACTTCGTTTAAAAAATCAATGGTTAGTGTTTCATTAAATAGACAGATAAAAAAAATCAATCGAAGAATTTAGCCTCAGACAAAAATTAAACACTTGTTTTGTG